ATGACCACTGGCACCGCTCCTTTTACCGAATGGCTCCATCACAGGGTAATCCCGATGCCGTGAACAAAACACAAGAGCCGAGGCAGACCACGTGGCAACGATACGACCGCCAGCCATCAAGCGCGTCCGAAAGGCGTTGGCGTTGGTGGTGCGGAAGTGGAGTGGAGAGCTCGCCGGCCCCCAGCAGTCAAAGCGTCTTTTCTCGTTCACGCGAGTCCGCATTGCACAGCAGGCAGCGGCACCATGCGCGCACGGCATACACAACAAAGGGAAAAAAGAAGCACGGCGGCAGCACTTGGTCGCGGGGAAAAGGGTCCACACCGATTGTACATTCCGAGTGGCTCACAGAAGTCCGGATGGTAGTCATGCAGATGCCGCGCGGCGGGTGTGACTGCAGTGGACTGAGAGGACGAAGAGAAGGGACAGAGACGCAGTGCGGCCCTCATCCACCTCGGTTAACTGTGACGCCGGTGACGTCATCCCGTCAGATCGCCTGCAGCAAAGACCGTCGCCGTCAGCGGCGGTCGGTGAATTCCCTCTCCCACTGGAGCGCAACTCCACCGACGCAGCCGCTCGCCCCCTCCCCCACCAGCACAACGAGGGAGCAACGGCAAAAGATGCCACACGCACGGCAAGGACGCTGTCGCAGAGTCTCACAGCTGCCAAAAAAAAAAAAAAAAAGACTCTCTTAGATGTTGTAGTACCCACGTATTCTCGCACCGTTTGGGTGGTCTTGTCAAACAGGAATGCTCAATTACAAATAAAGCACGCAACCGCAGGGATCCGCTCCGCATCGCCGTGCAGCAGCTGGTAGAGGAGGTTCTAACCGGCCGCCGTCAACTTCCCGATCCCGAGCGTCCCAATCAACACACGCTGCCCAGGCGTAAATTCAGTCCCAATGTGACTGCTGAACCATTCGGTTACATCGCCCTTGAAGATCCGCCATACTCGATCCACCCCAAAGTTCGCATGGCAGTCACGAATGGATTTCTCCCCCCGATTCCAATTCTACGTCCATCCGTTGTCCGAGGTGCGCGCCATCAGCCTGAGACGTGGTGCACCGGATTGCTGCACACCGTCATCCTTTTCTAGAGTCATGCAAACTGCCCTGTACGTCCATGGCTGCGGTGGTTCCTCCTTTCCCTCACTTCCATTCCCGTCCACTCGCCGCCAGGAACCCCCACAACATGATGCCACCTCGCATTCTACACAAACTCTTACAATCCCTGCAGCAATTACCCTTCCACCAGACTGTAAATAGCCCACATTAATCGCCGCACCTCATTCACCCTTCTGCGAGTCGTAGCGGGTTGATCTGTGTCGCTGTGGGTCCCCGGCCTCGCTCCCCTCTGACCATCTCCCCGCGGCACAGTGGACGCAGGGCCCTCCTCATGATCGCCGTGCACACTCTTGCGCTTTCCACGCACTGTTTCCCCTTGTCCCCGCAGTTGGCTCAAGCTAAAGCTGAACACCGACCACCAATCAAAGGAGAAAAATGAGAGAGATGGGAACAACAGGCATAGTCCCGAAGGGCAGCCAAAACAATAGAGTCATCCACACAGTGTGACGGCACAGCGTGCGATGCACACCACATGCACAAGGACCCACGCAACGACGGCGAGTGGCTGCCATTCAC